AGCCAAGGCAGGTGGATCACCTGAGCTCAGGAGTTGGAAACCAGCCTGGCCAACATGGCAAAACCCTGTCTCTACTAAAAATACAAAAATTAGCCTGGCGTGGTGACACAGGCTTGTGGTCCCAGCTACTCTGGAGGCTGAGGTGGAAGGATTGCTTGGGCCTGGAAGGTGGAGGTTGCAGTGAGTTGAGATTTTGTCACTGTACTCCAGCCTGGGTGACAGAATGAGACCCCATCTCAAAAAAAAAAAAAAAAAAAAAAAAAGGAATCTAAAAAGGAATCTGCCCTGGCTTATTGTCTGTGTAGAGCCACAGAAACAACAGGATAAGCTTGGACATAACCAGATCTCCCATGGAAATATTTGCACAGTGCCTGACACCTAATCGGTGCTTAATGACTCTTTGTTGAAGGGATGGGGCAAGGTGCTTAGCCTCTCAGTTTCATCAGACCGGGGATAACACCAGGGCCTACCTCATTAGGTTTTCTCTTTCTTCTAGAATGTATTAATTGATTTATTCGTTTTTATTTTTGGAGACAGGATCTTGCTCCATCACCCGGACTGGAAGGTGGTGACTCGATCATAGCTCACTGCAGCCTTGAATCCTGGGCTCAAGTGATCCTCCCATCTCAGCCTCCTGAGTAGCTAGGACTACAGATATGCACCACCATGCCTAGCTAATTAAAAAAATTTTTTTTTATAGAGAGAGGGTCTCGCTATGTTGCCCAGGCTGATCTCAAACTCCTAGGCTGAAGCAGTCCTCCTGCTTCAGTCTCCTGAGTACCTAGGATTACAGGTGTTAGACACCACACCTGGCCTAGAATTTATGTTTAATAATTTATATTTTCCTACAATTGTCCACTTCATCTGTTTTTTAAGTACAGGTTTCAAGAGGATAAAGCCTGTGTTTCTGTGTTTGTCTTGCCTACTGTTGTGTCCCCAGTATCAGTAAACGACAGAACAGCTCCCTGTAAATATGTGTTGTATGAGTGAATGTGTGTGGGAGGAAGAATTATCTTGGAAGAAGGAAGCATTAATAGGGCCTCTCCTAATAGTGACTCTTTTTTTTTTTTTTAGGCCGCCCTGGGGCCTTTTCTTATTCAAAACATTCATGAAAAAAAGTTCAGTTTCAAAGCATTGGAGCTACTGATGTAACAATTTTTTTAAAAATACCATTATTTGGAGCACAGCGGGGGATTCTCTGATCTTCTAGGTATTCTGTGATCTCCTGTGATCTTCTGGCTGTGATCTTCCTCCACAGACCCCCTGTCATATTTGAGACACCCTCTTCTGTGCCTTCTCCCCCTCCCTGTTTCTTAGGTTCACCAAGAATGAATGAAGAAGCCAAGCACGGTGGCTCATGCCTGTAATCCCAGCACTTGGGGAGGCTGAGGTGGGCAGATCGCTTGAGCCCAGGAGTTCGAGACCAGCCTGAGCAACATAGTGAGACCCCCAACCCCTCGCCCTCTCTTAAAAAAAGAAAAAGAAAGAATGAAGAATCCACCATGGGTCAGGCACTGTGCTAGCCTCTGCAGAAGTTTCCATACAGTACACTGGAGTGCAATACCCACGCTACGTTTTGCAGGGTCCACGGGAAGCCTTGCGGCGACCTCACTGCCGCCCAATTTCTGGGGCAGCGGCGGCGCAGCGCCCCCTGGCGGCCATCCCGAGGGCATTGCCCGCAGGCGAGGTTCGAAACTGTTGGGATTGGGACTGACTCCAGCCTCTGCTCCAGGAGGCCCTCCAGAGCTGCCCGACCTGCGGAGCTATGCAGAAGGCCTCCCGCAAAAACAAAAAAGGTAACTGGGGAGAAGGAAGCGGGTGAAGAAGCCCTGGGCACCAAGCCTTCCTCAATTTTCCTCCTCTGTAAAATGGCAATGGTACACTCTTGGCCTGGGAGATAACCTCTCTCCATCGTTGTTATTATTGTCATCATCATCATCATCATCATCATCATTTGAGAAGGAGTCTTGCTTTATCCCCCAGACTAGAGTGCAGTGGCGCGATCTCAGCTCACAGGATTACAGATGCCTGCCACCAGGCCCAGCTAATTTTTTATTTTTAGTAGAGAGAGGGTTTTGCCATGTTGGCCAGGCTGGTCTCCAATTCTTGACCTCAAGTGATCTGCCCGCCTTGGGCCATCGTTATTTTTATCAGGGTATAATTTCCATGCAGTAAGATCCCCCCTTTAAAAACACAGCGGTATGAGTTTTGACAAGCTACACCCACGTTGAATCACCCCCTCCATCAAGATAGGGAACAGTTTCACCACTCCCTAAAATTGCTTTGCAATGCCCAGTTGCAGCCAAACCCCACCCCACTGCAGCTCCTCACACCCCCATCTGTTTTTTACAGTGGTTTTTTTTTGTTTTGTTTTGTTTTGTTTTGTTTTGTTTTTGCCTTTTCCATGGAGAACATCGTAAAAATGAAATCATATCGTAAGGATCCTTTACAAAATTATACCAATGTAAATAGGGACTTTGGCCCTTTCATTTTTATTAAAAGGGCACATAAATCTCAAAATAGCATACTGGTCACTGTATTTTATTTTTAGAGACAGGGTCTTGTTCTGTTGCTCAGGCTGGAGTACAGTGGTATGCTCCTGGCTCACTGCAGCCTCCAACTCTTGGGCTCCAGCAATCCTCCTGCATCAGCCTCCCCATAGCTGGGACTGTAGGCATGCACCATCACACTCAACTAATTTTTTTTTTCTGAGACAGAGTCTCGCTCTGTGACCCAGGCTGGAGTGCAGTGGTGTGATCTTGACTTACTGCAACTCCCACCTTCCAGGCAGGTTCAAGTGATTCTTGTGCCTCAGCCTCCAGAGTAACTGGGATTATAGGTGTGAGCCATCACACCTGGCTGATTTTTGTGTTTTCAGTAGCAACGGTGTTTCACCATGCTGGCCAGGCTGGTCTCGAACTCCTGACTTCAAGTGATCCACCCACCCTCGACCTCCCAAAGTGCTGGGATTACAGGTGTGAGCCACTACGCCCGGCCTAAATAGAAGAGATGAGGTGTCACTATGTTGCCCAGGCTCTAATCACTTTATACTTCTGCGAAGGCTGCAGATTCCTGCATTGAGCAGTTCTTGTTCTTTATGGCTTTTTTCTGAACAGCATCAGGATTTGATAATGACTCGAGGCTGGTGAAGAGGCTGAACCAGGCAGGCAGGTGCCAGGCAGCCTTAGGCTTTTTCACTGCAGGGCTGTTGTCATTTGGACTGCTTGTCCTTGGGAAGGTTGACATTGCTGTTTGACTAGCCTTGTAGCAAGACCTGTAAGTCTTTCATATTTTAATGTGGTGCTTGGGGTCTGGCTCTCCCAAGATCACAGTGCTGCCTCCTCCACCTTGTTGTCCCCAAACACAGCGGCTCACTCTCTCTTTTTTTTTTTTTTGATATGGAGTCTCGCTCTGTTGCGCAGGCTGGAGTGCAGTGGTGTGATCTCGGCTCACTGCAAGCTCCGTCCCCCGGGTTCAAGCCATTCTTTTGCCTCAGCCTCCGGAGTAGCTGGGACTACAGGCACCTGCACCACGCCCAGCTAATTTTTTTGTATTTTTTAGTAGAGACGGGTTTCACCGTGCTAGCCAGGATGGTCTCGATCTCCTGACCTTGTGATCCGCCTGCCTTGGACTCCCAAAGTGATGGGATTACAGGCGTGAGCCACTGCTCCCAGCCGCCACTCACTCTTTTCTGAGCTCATCCTCTTCCAGGGAGGAAGCATTGAAGATCTCACTCAACAGCACTAGGGTCACCTTTGTCAGTACCTTCGGGTTCCAGGGTCTCTGCCACTGGGCCCAAGTGAGCACCTTCCTCAGGTTTGATAGCTAATAGTTCATCTTGAGCATGCGCTGTGTGAAGAGCCTTTGTCTAAGGCACATCTTCAGTTTTTTCCTTGTAGCAGTTTCCATCCTCTAATGAAATTAATTGACTCAGCTCCTGCACTGCCACATCTGGGCTTTCCTGCTGGGTGAGCTTCTTTTCTTCTCAACTAGTTTTTTCAGAGGGTTGTGTAAGTGCTTTAAAGTAGTGACTACATATGGCTGATAACCTGTGAAGCTCTCATGGATAGCTGCCATAGTGTGAGAAATCTTCTCCCCAGAATGAAGCAGAGTGGTCTGGTACGTTGCTAGCATATGAGACAGGAGATTGCATGTATTGACTTGCTCCACGAAGATCCACATTCAACTTCACTTTGTCAGGTTTTTTTTTTTCTTTTCCTTTCTTTTTTGAGATGGAGTCTCCCTCTGTCACCCAGGCTTGTAGCTGGGATTACAGGCGCACACCAACATGCCCGGCTAATTTTTTTTTTTGTTTTTGAGACGGAGTCTCACCCTGTCACCCAGGCTGGAGTAAAATGGTGCCATCTCAGCTCACTGCAACCTCTGCCTCCCGGGTTCAAGTGATTCTCGTGCCTCAGCCTCCCAAGTAGGTGGGATTACAGGCGCGTGCCACCACGCTTGGCTAATTTTTTGGTAGAGACAGGTTTCACCATGTTGGCCAGGCTGGTCTCGAACTCCTGATCTTGTGATCTGCCCGCTTCAGCCTCCCAAAGTGCTAGGATTACTGGTGTGAGCTACTGCACCTGGCACAAAGTTATTTTAATTTTGCAAGATGTACTTTGTGTTTCTTGCCTTCCTGAACTTCTGCATTTGCTTATAGAGGTCTGGATCAAACTCCTGAGACACGTCCTTCATCTGTGAGTTAGGAGCCTTGTGAGTCTGGCTCTTTTACTTAACCCTGCTGACTTTTAAAAGTGGGCTCCTGGTAGCTTACCTTATACACACATTGAATTTACAAGCTGAGATAGGAACCACTGGACCTTGCCCAAGACGTGACTTCTCTGTTTGCTCAGGAACCAGAGGCTCAGGTAGGGCATATCCTGCCCCCAATTGCACCCAGAACCCCAAAAGGTCTCTGAAGATGGTATCTCATTTATATTATGCTATTTTATTTTCCCAAACAAAGAGCATCTGTGGTTTAGGGGAAAGTGAGGTTGGAGATGGGCAAGGACATTTGCTTTAGAGGAAAGGGCCATGAACCCCTCCAGTTCCCTACAGCCAGAGGTAGGGAGCTGGGGGAGCCTTTCCCTCAGCAGTGGCCCTGAAAACACCACAGTCACATGGACTTGGCAAGCTTGTGTGTCACTTGTCCTTATGGAAAGGAGTTGTGTGTGAAATACTGGAAAAGTGTGCCGAAAACAGATCTCCCCAGGAGCTTCCTGTGTACCGAAAAGGAGTTTGCTGGCAGCTTCCTCTTGGGAAATTAACTTCTTGTTTTGAATGTCCTTTTAGTCCCTGAAATTTTTCTTGTGAGATTTGGTTCTGTAGAAAACATATTTCAACCCCTCCCATTACCCCTTGTCTCCAAGGCCTTCAGATTTTCCTCCCATGTGCTTTTTGGATCCATCTACTGCTCATTTCTGCTGTTACTGCTATGACATGCACCACGACCCTTTCATTTTCATTTCATTTCATCTCATCTAACCATGTCCAGCTTAATTCACTTCTGAGCTTTTTCACTAAGGAAGTCTGAGAAGCAGCCTCTGTTTGCTTGGTCCTCGCTCCTCCTGCCTCCCCCCTCCTCTGACAGGGCCAGTTCCTTCCTTTCTCAGACCTTAACACAATGTGCTCCTGATCTACCTTTCTTTGCCTAAATATTTCCTATTGGTCCTTATGGCCTTAATTCAAATTTTAGCCCTGCTGGAAGCCTGACCTGCCATCCTCAGATGAGACTTTGGCCCTCTGTTACTCATTCTCAGAGCCTCCGTCCATTTCTTTTATAACATGAGTTACAGTTTGTTATCCAACATATATTTACATGACTGATTGATATTTGTCCCCTCCACTAGGCTGTAAACTTCACGAGGACAAGAAACACATGTGGGCCGGGCATGGTGGCTCACACCTGTAATGCCAGCACTTTGGGAGGCTGAGGTGGGAGGATTGCTTGAGGCCAGGAGTTCAAGACTAGTCTGGCCAATATAGTGAGACCCTGTCTCTACAAAAACAATAAAAATTAGCCGTGTATAGTAGCGTATGCCAGTAGTCCCAGCTACTTAGGAGGCTGAGGTGGGAGGAGCCCTTGAGCCCAGGAGATTGAGGCTGCAGTGAACCGTGATCATGCCACTGCACTCCAGCCTGGGCAATAGAGTGAGACCTTGTCTGTTAAAACCAAAAAACCCAACATATCTGTTTTGCTCACCATGGTAAACCCAGGGCCTAGCACACTGTCTGTATCAATAAATATTTGTTAAGTGAATAGATAATACTAATATTAAGTACTCATAATATGCCAGACTCTGCAGAAGCCCTTTAATGCTCCCATTTAATTTTCAGAAGAGCTCTCCAAGGTGAACACTTTTTATCCTCATTTTACCAACAAGGAATCTGAGGAATAGGGATTAAATAACTGTCCCAGGGATCTGGCTTCAGAACCCCAGTGGGTATGGCCATGCTTCTGTCTTGGTGAAGGACTGAAATAAGTTCCCCTCTTTTGGTTAGAAAGAGGAGTCAGCATCAAGGTCAAAACATCTGTACACAACTTGAGCAAAACACAGCAGACTAAACTCACTGTGGGCCGGCTGGGATTAGGCCTCATCATCATCCAGCATGGACCCTACCTCCAGATCACCCACCTCATCAGGAAGGGGGCTGCAGCCAACGACGGGAAACTTCAGCCAGGTGACTGCCCTTTCACCATGCTTCCCAACCACCCATCCTGCCCATCTGCCTGAAGGGAGGCTCGGGTCACCAGGTTTCAGTGTAACTATAAGGATATGACAGGCATGCTGGCTCATGCCTGTAATCCCAGCTCTTTGGGAGGCTGACTGGCTCACGCCTGTAATCCCAGCACTTTGGGAGGCTGAGGCAGGGGATCACTTGAGGTCAGGAGTTTGCAACCACCCTGGCCAACATGGTACAACTTTGTCTCTACTAAAAATACAAAAACTGGCCGGGAGTGGTGGCTCACACCTGTAATCCCAGCACTTTGGGAGGCTGAGGTGGGTGGATCCTGAGGTCCGGAGTTCGAGACCAGCCTGGACAAGATGGTGAAACCCTGTCTCTATTAAAAATACAAAAATTAGCTGGGCGTGGTGGCACATGCCTGTGCCACATCTCCTACCTCAGCTACTTGAGAGGCTGAGGTAGGAGAATCACTTGTACCCGGGAAGCGGAGGTTGCAGTGAGCTGAGATCGCGCCACTGCACTCCAGCCTGAGCGACAGAGACTCTGTCTTAAATAAATAAATAAATAAATAAATACAAATACAAAAATTAGTTGGGTCTGGTGGCGGGCGCCTGTAGTCCCAGCTACTCAGGAGGCTGAGGCAGGAGAATCTCTTGAACCCGGGAGGCAGAGGTTGCAGTGAACTGAGATCGCACATTGTACTCCAGCCTGGGTGACAGAGTGAGACTGTGTCTCAAAAAAAAAAAAAAAAAAAAAAAAAAAAGGATATGACAACATTAGTTGAGAACTTTCTATGGGCCAGCCAATGGCTATCACTTGCATAACTATCACTGTTGGGCATATTAATTCATTTAATTCTGGCCAGGTACAGTGGCTCACACCTGTAATTCCAGCACTTTGGGAAGCCAAGGTGAGAGGATCAGGTGAGGCTAGGAGTTCAAGGCCAGCCTGAGCAACATAGTGAGATGCTGTCTATATTAGTCCGTTCTTGCACAGCTATAAAGAAAAACCTGAAACTGGGTAATTTGTAAGAAAAGAAGTTTAACTGGCTCATGGTTCTGCAGGAAGCACAGCTGGGGAGGCCTCAGGAAACTTACAATCACGGCAGAAGGTGAAGAGGAAGGAGGTACGTCTTACATGGTTGGAGCAGGAGGAAGAGACAGCAGGGGGAGGTGCTACACGCATTTCAACAACCAGATCTCATGAGAACTCACTCGCTATCACGAGAGCAGCAAGGGGGAAATCTGCCCCCATGATCCAACTGCCTCCCCACAGGTCCCTCCTCCAACACCGAGGACTACAGTTCAACATGAGATTTGGGTGGGGACACAAATCCAAACCATATCACCATTTCTACAACAAAACAAAAGTAGCCTGGCATGATGCGTGCCTGTAATCCTAGCTACTCGGGAAGCTGAGGTGGGAGGATCACTTGAGCGCAGGAAGCCGAGGCTGCAGTGAGCTATGATTGTGCCACTGCATGCCAACCTGGGTAACAGAGTGAGACCCTATCTCTAAAAAAATAAGAAAATTAAATTTACTTAATGAGGGTGAGATTCAGCTCCTTGTCCAATTCACCTGTTTCTCCTATGTGGGGATTCAGGGACCCATAGCTCCAGAGCTATGGCTCTCAGTGCATAAAGATATTTTCTTTCGTAGGCAGTATTAACCATTGCTAACACTTAGCTGCATGACCTCATTTCACTCTCCCAATCCCTGGGCTAGATTCTGCATGAAACCACCTTGCAGACAAGGAATCAAGTATTTAGTAACTCTCCCATGGTCACTCCAAGGAGCTGGGATTTGAACCTTCTCTGTCAGACTCCAGAGCCTAAGGGCTTTACCAATACTGCCCTGCTCCTTGTGTCTTTGGGTGAATGAATTTTCTATGCTATTCAAGAGGTGTTTTCTCAGTGCCTGGCCTGGGCCTAGTGCTGTGCCCAGGAGCTGGGGAAGCAGAATGGGCTGGCGCAGTCGTGAGAAGGAAAAAACATTGTGTTAGCTGTCCTGATTCAGGCCCAGGGTCTGACACTTCTTAGTTCTGTGACCCTGGGCAAAGCCACTTAACCTTTCAGGCCTCAGTCACCTCATCTTTGAATTGGGATAATCCTGTGTTTGTCAGAGGTTGTTAAGATTTGATGAAATAATGCGTGTTTGTTTGATGGATGGGGTATCATTCTGTCACCCATGCTGGAGTGCAGTGGCTTGATCATGGCTCATTGTGGCCTTAAACTCCTTGGCTCAAGTGATCCTCCTGCTTCAGCCTCCTGAGTAGCTGCGACTCAGGCGTGTACCACCATGCCCAGCTAATTTTATTTTATTTTTTATTTTTTTGTAGACATGGGCAGTGGAGGCGGTGGGTGGGTGGTGTCTCATTATGTTGTCCAGGCTGGTCTCAAACTCTGGCCTCAAGGAATCCTCCCATGTGGCCTCCAAAAGTGCTGGGATTACAGGTGTGAGCCATTGAGCCCAGCCTGATGAAATAATTTTTATGAAAGTGCTTTTAAAACTGAAGTGCTATAGAAATATTGGAAATAATCTCTTAGGCTGTTCTTACAGATTCTCTAGACTTTTACGTGTGTGTTTTAATAAAAAATGATGGCTGTATGGGGGTCCCAGTGGATTAAGCCACTGGTTTTCAACCCTGGTTACCTGTTAGAATCATCTGGGAAGTTTTTAAAACCAGGATGCCTGGTCCCTATCTCCCCACAGGTTTTTGATTCAATAGTTCTTGGACTGGGACAGGGGAGTTTATGTTTTAAAAGCTCCTCAGGTGGTTCTATTTGCAGCTAAGGGTTCCAAGCAATGGATTAAAGAAGAAAGCAGATATATAATGGTTTTATGAAACAGTTTGCTATACCTTAAAATCCAAAGCATTTTCCCCACACATCACTACTTGGTGGTGGAGAACAAACGGCGACAGGTGGAGAGTTCTGGACTTACCAGAACAAAAGAACTCCAGGACAGGTCCCATGGGGTTTTCTGCTTTTCCTCAGCTTCTTCAAGGTCAGGTGACAGATGCTGGGTGATGATCCGGGTGCATACTCCAGGGTGCTAGAGTTTGACAGGAGTATGCTTTTAGGTAGGCAACAGAGAATCTCATGGCAGGGCTATAGTTAGTGGGCTCTTTGAGGTTAGAAGCAGTCTTGAATTTAATCTTTTAAGTCCAGGACTCACCTACTCTATTAGTGCATTCTCACACTGCTGTAAAGATACTGCCTGAGATTGGATAATTTATACATGAAGGAGGTTTAATTGACTCACAGTTCCGTATGGCTGGGGAGGCCTCAGGAAACTTACATTCATGGTGGAGGAGGAATCAGGCATTTTCTTCACAAGGCGGCAGGAGAGAGTGTGAGTATGTGAAGGAGGAGCTGTCACTCATACAACCATCAGATCTCATGAGAACTCACTATCATGAGAACAGCATGGGGGAAACCACCCCCATGATCCAATCACCTCCCTCCCTCCACACGTGGGGATTACAGGTCCCTCCCTCAAAATGTGGGGATTACAACTGGCAATGACATTTGGATGGGGACACAGAACCAAACCATATCATTCTGCCCCTCCATCTGCAAGCTGAAGAGCAGGGAAGCTAATAGTGGCTCAGTGCGAGTCCCCAAACCTCAAAAGTTGGGAAGCTGACAGTGTAGCCTCTAGTCTGTGGCTGAAGGCCTGAGAGCCCCTGGCAAACCACTGGTGTAAGTCCAAGAGTCCAAAAGCCAAATAACTTGGAGTCTGATGTTCGAGGGCAGGAAGCATCCAGCACGGAAGAAAGATGAAGGCTGGAAGACTCAGCAAGTCTGCTCATTCCACCTTTTTCCACCTGCTTTTTCTAGCCATGCTGGTAGCTGATTGGATGGTGCCCACCCAGATTGAGGGTCGGGTCTGCCTCTCCAAGTCCGTTGACTCAAATGTTAATCTTTTCTGGCAACACCTTCACAGACACATCCAGAAACAATACTTTGCATCCTTCGATCCAATCAGGTTGACAATGTTAACCGTCACACCTAAAGCAGTGACTCATTTGTTATGTCTTTGCTTAATAAATAAATAAATAATAAATGAATATTAGTCCCAGGCATTGTGGGAGATATTTCCCCACCTATTATCTATTTTTTTACTCCAACTTTTAATTTTATTTGTATAAGAGGTCTCACTGTCACACAGGCTGGAGTGCAGGAGTGCAGTAGTGCAATCATAGCTTACTACAGCCTTGAACCTCTGGGCTCAAGCAATCCTCCTGTCTCAGTCTCCCAAAGTGCTGGGATTACAGGCATGAGCCATCTCACCTGGCCCCACGTGTTATCTAATTTAAAGTTTGCAACACTCCTGAAATGTAGATAATGAAAATATAGAGGATTAGAGAGACGAAATAACTTGTTCATCTTAGTTACACAACTGAGTCTGTGTTCAGAGCTGGGATTTGAACCCATGTCTGCCTAGAAAGCCCATACCTTTCTAGCCAATTGCCTAACAACTAGAAATGAGATTTGAATACAGAGTTAAGTCCAGAGCCCCAAATCTCTTTGTGACAAGCCTGCCGGTTCTCCTCAGCATCAGTCTAGGCTTTAAAGTCTGTAACTCAGTGGTTTTAGACAATGATGATGAGATTTTGGGAGACGGTAATTGTAGAAACATGCTATTTCTTTGACCCCATTTTCTCCCAGCCCCATTATCTTTTATCTATGTGCTGAAATCTCTCTCCTTTGGTGTTTCAGGATAGGGTTTCACCTTGATTTCCTAATTTATTTTGTGTTAGTTTATTCTGGCTAAACTTTAAGTTCCTTTTGGCCAGTATGGCCATAACAGCTTCTGATATTCTAAGTCTTAAGAAATTAATGTAAGCCGGGTGCGGTAGCACACACCTGGAATCTCAGCACTCCAAATTGTTGGAGCTCAGGAGTTCGAGACCAGCCAGGGCAACATGACAAACCCCATTTCAATAAAAAATACAAAAACTAGCCCAACATGGTGGGCATATGCGCTTGTAGTCCCAGCTCCTCCGGGAGCTGAGGCAGGAGGGTTGCTTGAGCCCTGGAGGTCAAGGCTGCAGTGAGCTGTATTTGCATCCCCGCACTCCAGCCTGGGTGACAAAGTGAGACCCTGTCTCAAGAAAAAAAAAAAAAAAAAAAGGAAATTAATGTAGCTTCTACAGTAAATACAAGTCATAGACTGGCTACTGCCTAAGCATTTCCTGAAGACTTAGTGTGTGCAGACACCCAGCTAGGCACTGGGAGTGTAGTGGTGAACCATACAGACATGGTCCCTAGCCATGAGGAACTTAAGGAACTTCCAGCCTAGTTGGGAGAGATGAAAAAATAAAATATTTTTCAGTAGTGGCTTGGCTGATGCAAAGTTGATTTAATGTAGGTAATCGAGACAAAGTTTATATAATGTCATCCTATAGCCCATTAAAACAGAAAAAAAATGTGTAATGAGGTTGGTGTTCATAAATACCAAATTGGTGTTTCTGTATGAAGGGCAATGTTAATATCTATTGCTAGAGTAATCACATTCACATGCTGACATGTTTGGTTTACAGCCAGAACGGTCAGGAAATTAAGCTGTTTATCTTCCGCCCTCTTGATAAAAGTCACCCTTTTACAACATAATTAAGCAGAATGCCAAGCCATAGCTTTCAGCTATAAACACTGCTTTTAACATTAGGTAAGTAAGCTCATCTGGGGAATTTTTTTTTTTTTTTTGCCATTGTAATTAACCTCAGTAGGATGAGCATCTGTTTCATATTGCTCAAGCTGCAGGTAGCCTTGTTTCATTCTGAAGTGAGCTTCAGATACATGGTTGATTGTATTACCCCCAGCTACTGCTTAAGACCAAAGGAGAAGGTTTTTCTCCACCCTTCTAAGTATTCATTTTCTTGAATTCTGGGAAATTTGTTTCTGATAGGATCTAGAGCTATGGACATTTGTGCTTGGCATCCTTGGAGGCTTCTTTTGGGATCAGTGTAATTCCTGATTGAAGCCCAGTGCATGCATCAGAGAAGGCACTTCTTCTTGACCCTTTTCTTCTCTGAGGTTAGGCTTCAGCTGTCTTAGAATGAGATTGACTGAGGGTCCCCAGCAGGTCAGTACTAATAAGATCTGAAGACTTAAGATTTTGCCCAACGTGAACTGGTCCTTAAAAAGCAAATCCTTTGTATTCCTTTCTGAAGTCTTGCTGAATGCCGTTGTAGCAGAGTTCCTCATTGCAAAAAAACAAAAAACACTTCTGTTAATGCACTGAATTTGGGATACTGAGTCTGAAAGAATCGCCCAAAAGGCTGGAGAAGCAGGCTTGGAAAATGGTGAGAACCAAAAGCTGTGTGTAACTACCCCTGGCAACTAGAAGCTCCTGTCACTCTTCTGCGTCTCCTCCTCCAGGTTCAGTGACCCAGGTGGAAGTGTCAAGTGGCTGGATCTCACTCACAGGTCCATGACCTAGCTGCTGGAGGTGGGGACATGGGGGAGGTAGGAGCAAGTGAATAACTGGTCTTTTAGCTTATTTCAATTTGGGGGTTTCGGGGGTTAGTGCTCAAGATGTAGTCCTCTTCCCACCTGCTGGGGACTCAGAAGCTGCATGGTTGACCATCTTGTTTCCTTCCTTGTCCTGCATTGCCCTAAGGTAGGGAAACCTAGCTGTCAAATCCCTTTAAACCAACATACTCACTGCATACACATCTTACAGTTAATTAAAGCATGCCTAATTGCCCAATGTTTTATACAGAATTATTTGCTCAATATTGCACAAGGGTAGAGAATTAAAATGAAAGGCTTTATGTTTAATGTAGTCTATTAACTGTAGAGGGCACTGGAAATTGCCAGGCAGGTATAATAGAAAGTAGGTCATTTATTCATCACTTAGTGTAAATGGTTTTTTCTTTCCTAGTAATAGCCATTCATTTTATTTGAAACTAATCTATTTTTAGAATCCTAAAGGCTGGTTCCGATTATAAATGTTTTTTTAGCCTCTGTCACACCAAGAACTTCAGAAATGTCTCAAAAACATCATATAATGTCTACCATTATACTGCTATTAAGAAACATCTTGCATATACTCTTCATTATGCAAAGGACATTCATATCATGGAGATGAACATCTTTATTAAATAAAGGCTAGGCCGGGCGGGGTGGCTCACGCCTGTCATCCCAGCAGTTTGGGAGGCCGAGGTGGGCAGATCACCTGAGGTCAAGAGTTTGAGACCAGCCTGGCCAACATGGTGAAAACCCATCTCTACTTAAAAAAAAAAAAAAAAAAAAAAATTAGCCAGGCATGGTGGCACGTGCCCATAATCCTAGCTACTTGGGAGGCTGAGGCAGGAGAATCACTTGAACCTGGGAGGCAGAGCTTGCAGTGAGCCGAGATCGCACCACTACACTCCAGCTTGGGAGACAGTGAGACTTCATCTCAAAAAAAAAAAAAAAAAAAGGCTGAAGCCTGGTTTTGGTTCAAAAAGAATCAACAGTATGGACACATAAAATGAAATACCTCACAATAAAGCCAGAAATCAATATGGTCCCTTTAAACCCCTAGTTTTACTGATATATATATTTTTCCCTCTTCAGGTGATGTTCTGATTAGTGTTGGCCATGCCAATGTGTTAGGATATACTCTTCGAGAATTTTTACAGCTTTTGCAACATATCACCATTGGAACAGTGCTACAAATCAATGTTTACCGAGATTTTATTAACATTCCTGAAGAATGGCTAGAAATATATGATTTAATCCCTGAGGCCAAATTCCCAGTAACAAGGTAAATAGTTCATTTTAGGAACTCTTTGTTATAATACAGAATCCCAGGGCCTGTGAGGCACAGATGGTTTAATGTGACAATTATCAAATAAGGATGACAGGAGGACTGGTGACACTGTCAGAGTAATTTCCAGGGTTTCTGGTATTAGATCTGTAGGATCTAATATGAGAAAGCATGATAAAGTCAACTTGGAGTTAAAAAACAAGTCATCAGTTGGGAATTTTGTCCCTGTGCCTACCTGCATGGTGCCTCTCCTTCCCAAGTCAGCCCTTAAAATGCTTCTTGTGGGCCGGGTGTTGTAGCTCATGCTTGTAATCCCAACACTTTGGGAGGCAGGCGGATCTCGAGGTCAGGAGATCGAGACCATCCTGGCCAACATGGTGAAACCCCTTCTCTACTAAAATTACAAAAATTAGCTGCATGTGGTGGCGAGCACCTGTAATCCCAGCTATTCAGGAGGCTGAGGCAGGAGAATCGCTTGAACCTGGGAGTCGGACGTTGCAGCGAGCCGAGATCGCGCCACTGCACTCTAGCCTAGAGACAGAGCAAGACTCCATCTCAAAAAAAAAAAAAAAAAGGCTTTTTGCAAATCCTATTTTCTTTTGCATATTCAATTTTTTTCTCTCCGGGTCCCTCCCAGTAAAATCTAAGCCTTTTTAAACTTCTCTCATCTTGGCAAATCCTATCTTCAGTCCACTCTCCTCTCCCTACCCTCTCTAGCCACTGGAGTCTCTTGCATGCCCTCCCAACTTGCTAAAAGCTGTATTAGACACCTCTGTTTCCTCGAGAGACGCCACTTCCCAGACACTCCTCAACCCACTTCAATCTAGGCTTTGCTTTCATCCCTTGGCTGAGTCCTTTTTCCCAGGGCCACCCATAGCCTTCACACTTCTGATCCCACTACATTCTTGTCTTTATCTTGCTTGGTTTCTGAGCAGCACTAGACACTTAACACTTTCCACCCACTCTCTTCTTGAAATAGCACTTCCCAGGCTTCTGTGACACCACACTCCCCTGATTTTCCTACTTTCCTATTACCTCTGGCCATTTCCTCTTGGTGTCCTTTCTCCTAGCCAATTTCATTGATGCCTGTGGTTTCTCTATCCACATGCTAATTACTTTCAAATTGTATTATCACCAAAACTGTATTTTTTTTTTCTTGGTTTTGCTCTTGTCACCCAGGCTGGAGTGCAGTAGAATGATCCTGGCTCACTGCAACCTCTGCCTCCTAGGTTCAAGTGATTCTCCTGCCTCAGCCTCCAGGGTAGCTGGGATTACAGGCGCATGCCACTACACCCAGCTAATTTTTGTATTTTTAGTAGAGATGAAGTTTTACCATGTTGGCCAAGCTGGTTTCATACTCCTGACCTCAGGTGATCTGTCTGCCTCGGCCTCCCTAAGTGCTGGGATTAGAGGCATAAGCAACCAAGTCCGGCCAGAATGATCTTTTTGTAATGCAAATCTGATCCTGGCATGTTCCTGCAAAAAATCTCAAGACTTTTTGTTCTTTGGATAAATGTCAAAATCCTCACATTGGCCTATAATGCTCTACGGGGTTCAGCTGGCCTCTGCATACCATTCCAACTTCAACTCATACTGCTTTCCCCATCCCTCTCTATCCCACTTTAGCTTCCAGCTCCCTGCCTTTTGTTGCTCTTTGCCTCAGGGTCTTTGCACTTGCTCTTCTCTGTCTGCAACATGCTCGTAACTTTGCTCTTCAGTAGACACCCTTGAAGGCTCCAGTGTACCTTCTCCAAGGGGTCTTCCTAGAAACAGGTCCATCTGACATATGCCTTCACAGCTCGCTCCTTCACATTTATCCCAATTTTAATGAAATAATCTGTGTAATCAGTTGTTCACTGTGTTTCCCTAGGAGAATATGAACTCCATGAAGGCAGGGGCTGAGTCTGTTTTGTTTTGCTAAAATTGCCCTAGGACTTTCATGTGGTCAACGGTTCATTTGTTTTTAATTTTTAATTTTAAAAGTCTTATTTTTGAGACAGGGTCTCACTCTATCCCTCAGGCTGTAGTGTAGTAGCATGATCACAACTCACAATCAAATCCTACTCAGCGACTCCTACACTGGAGGGCACGACTCTAAAAGCATGAGCTCATCTTTTAGATGACAACGTAACAACTATGTGCTAAGCATTTTCATTACATGGAGGAGTTTTGAGATCCAGAATATTAAATTCTAAGGATGGCAGACTGACCATTCAAAAGCAGAGAAAAGATAGAACAGCACAACTCAAGTATGAGGCGAAAACCCGCAAACTTAAATAACAATACCAAGCACTTGCTGACTCCCTTTCTTAATTAGGCAAAGTACTCATATCTAGGGCATTTTAGTAACTTAAGTGTAACGGGGCAGGGAAAGAAGGGAAAGGAAAAAGCTGTTTTCACAAAGCTAGTATAACCTTTTCCAGGAGAAAATGGCACCGGGTATACACACTGGAGAAAATTCTCCATTTAATGCTCTGGGTAGGCCGAATGCTCAAGGAAGTTTGTTTCCAGCCAATCCTGACCTCTGCAGGGTTGTGGCTTTATTACCTAATGATAATTTACCTGTCCTTTATGGTTACCTAACCATCAGAGTTGCCAAGGATTCACCCTGCAGTCTGGAAAAAAAAAAAGTTATTAATACTTGGATTTTTAAAAAAAATTCATGTGCTGTTCAGGAAGACCTAAGTGTGTCTGAAAGCAAATTAGACAAAGAAAATCAGTATTTAAGACTAGTGGCTCTTAGTAAAAATTACTCATTATCAACTGTTTATTACTGGAAGAGATAAACTTTAGGAGAAGCCATTCAAATTCTTGGAAGCAAATACAACAGGCAGATCGCCAAGGTTATTAGTGATAACACCAGAAGTCTTAACAGGTTGGCAGGGAAGAAACCTATTTCCTTTTAGCAGGGCAGAATGTACCAGAGATTTGTAATCACAAAGATTTGGTTCTGCTGGGCAACAGTACCAGGATGAGGGAAAGCAGGTGACAGAGCACTCATTCTGGAAAGTTAAAGCAAGCACAGGTACTGTAGGCATTAGGAAAGTTCAGAGACCTGAAGGTACTAGCAGGCAAGCACCACCTAGTTTCAACAATCAAGAAAGCCAATAATTGCAGAAAGTTAAAAACAACAACAAAAACCTGGCTGGGCACAGTGGCTCCTGCCTGTAATCCTAGCACTTTGGAGGCCAAGGTAAGGATTCTTTGAGGCCAGCAGTTTGAGACAGGCATGGGCAACATAGGGAGATCCTGTTTTTACTAAAACAAAACAAAACAAAATTAAAAATTAGCCAGGTGTGGCAGCATACAGCATACACACCTGTAGTCTCAGCTACTTGGGAAACAGAGGCCAGAGGGTCACTTGAGTCCAGGAGTTCAAGGTTGCAGTGAGCTGACGGTGCCACTGCACTGCAGCAAGGGTGACAGAGCAAGACCCTCTCTAAAAAAAAGACTCGAAGACTTACTAATGACTAGGATGTTGAAGATCCTTAAGGCCCACTATTTCCTGACTTCCTGACTCCTCTGGAAATCAATAATATTGTGTTTCTGCCACGTGAGCCACAAGAATAGAGTTCTCAGGAGATGGTCAGGTTGAACCTGTCACTTTAGCTGCACTGAAATTAACCTACCCTTTAACGCCTCCTAATATTCTGGTCAGTAGTCTAGTATAAGTCTGTGCAAAACTTTTTAAGGTATGGTAAAGTAATTTAAGGCAGAATTTGATTTCCATTTAGAAATGGAAAAATTTTAAAGATAAAATTTTTTTTTTTTTTTTTTTTTGAGACGGAGTCTCGCTCTGCCGCCCAGGCTGGAGTGCAGTGGCCGGATCTCAGCTCACTGCAAGCTCCGCCTCCCGGGTTCACGCCATTCTCCTGCCTCAGCCTCCCGAGTAGCTGGGACTACAGGCGCCCGCGCCCGGCTAGTTTTTTGTATTTTTTTTAGTAGAGACGGGGTTTCACCGTGTTAGCCAGGATGGTCTCAATCTCCTGACCTCCTGATCCGCCCGCCTCGGCCTCCCAAAGTGCTGGGATTACAGGCTTGAGCCACCGCGCCCGGCCTAAAGATAATTTTTAAAAGGGAAACATTTCAATGACACAGAAGGGTAGTGCTATAGCTAAATTGTATCTTCTATGAGTCAAAGCAAGTTATAAGGCATCTTGTTAGGGGACCATCAATGTTGAGACATGAAGAATCTATTTTATTCACTATTCTTTCATTTCAGCACACCAAAGAAAATGGAGCTGGCAAAAGATGAATCTTTCACAAGCAGTGATGATAATGAAAATGCAGATTTAGATAGAAGACTTCAATATTATAGATATCCGTGGTCAACTGCGCATCACCCTGCAAGGAGATCAATATCCATCTCCAGAGACTGGCATGGATATAATAAGAACAACCATACTATTACTGTAGGAAAAGACATTGATTGTGACGTGATGATTCACAGAGATGATAAGAAAGAAGTGAAGGCGCCTTCTCCATACTGGATAATGGTGAAGCAAGACAATGAAACCTCTTCCTCCTCTACTTCCTCTACCTCAGATGCATTTTGGCTGGAAGACTGTGCCCAAGTTGAAGAGGGTAAAGCCCAACTGGTATCAAAGGTTGGTTAGCAAATCTGTGGTCATATGAGCATTTATCTTGCAGACACCCAAGTTTTGTGCCTCACCAGGCACAAGTCTGCTATACTTATCAAGGACTGTCTGTAGACTCACCAATTCTCTTCTCTTATGACTGCGTTATTAAGCCTTTAGAGATGTTCTTCAATAGGATTATCTAAATACTTCCCTGGGTTCTTGCAGGCCTTGCAAATCTTATTTTCAGAATAAGACCCTTCTTTCTGAGAAGAATTTCTTTTCTTTTAGAAAATGCAGTAGAGAAATCCAGTATCAGGATGTCTGAACATAGTAGAGAATGTCACTTTATGTAAACACCACACTTTTCTTTAAATATTTAGTTTCTCTCTTTTTTTTGGTAAACTTCAAGTACTATAATTAAAATAACTAAGAGACATATTCCTTGGCTAGTTATTCACATTAGAATTCTTTGTTTTTCCCTTTTCAGCCCTTTTACTGTAAATGTTGAATTGAGAGTTAATTACTTGGAAGAGACAGGATAGTAACAGATAAGGGAGAGACAGCAGATGAGCGAAAAACAAAACTCTGTCAGTGAAGATAACTCAGACATAAAAAATGAATTAATGGGAATATAGGATATGATTGATAGGAAATTTACGTTTTTCGCATATAATTTTATTGCAAAAAAGGCAAAACAGGGGTAAAAACCAGACCATTTAGCTGTTGATACCCAAAATGACAAATTTTGAACTTGCTTTCATCTGAAAAGCCACCAATAGTAACCTGGCACTATTTATACTGATAGCCACTTAGCCTTAATTTTAATAGTTTCTAATGCTTCTATACTCAATAATTATATTCCTGTCTCCTTTAAAGCATCTAAAACAAAAATATCAGCACATAATAAATACTTGTTGATTAACTCATTGAGAGAAACGTAAGAAAAACACCTAAGCAGAATGTTTTATTGACTTTAGGTCAGCTGAGAATAATTACCTGCATTTATGCCTTATTTTACCTCACTGGAAAAAAGACAAATGTTATATTAGAGATTTCTGATTTTCATGTGTTTGTTGCTCTGGGCTGAGAGAATGTTCAGCTCTCTCTCGTAATGTGTGCGTCAGTATTACAGCTCATCAACAAAAGGTGTATGTCCCAAATTTCCACTTGCTACCATCGACTTCTGGCCAGAAACAAACTTCTTTGCAGCCTTTAAAGAAACAAACAAAAGACAAAGTTAACAAAAATAAAAATATATGTCATCAAGCAGGTGAACTTATTGTCATTTTAAGAATTTATGGATAGGACATTCTTTTTTTTTTTTGAGATGGAGTCTTGCTCTGTCGCCCAGCATGGAGTGCAGTGGTACGATCTTGGCTCACTGCAGCCTCCGCCTCCCAGGTTCAAGCAATTCTCTGCCTCATGCCTTGGGATTACAGGCATGCACCACCATGCCCAGCTAATTTTTGTATTTTTAGTAGAGACCGGATTTCGCCATGTTGGGCAGGCTGGTCTCGAACTCCTAGCCTCAAGTGATCCACCCACCTCGACCTTCCAAAGTGCTGGGATTACAGGCATGAGCCACCAACCCGGCCTTGGATAGGACATTCTAAGCCAGCAATTACTATAATAGCTGTTGTGAAAATTAACTAGGAGATGGCTGGTGCTTTAATTTGTAACTGTGGGAAAAGCTTAGCTGTTCCTCTGAATGTTCCATTGTATGTGTAATGAACCAAGCAAGGGCAATGCTCTGGTAAGAGGGTAGCTGTTAAAAGAGAGATAAGGAAAACATCACTGACACTCTCAAATAGAGTAGTGTGGCTTCAGGCAGGGATATACTTTCCTGTTTTTGTATTACAAGGGCAAATAGTCTGGGTCAATAAAAATACAATGATTGTTAACTTAAAAGTAAACCTTTATACCCTAGAGGATTCTTTATGCCACTACTTCCAAGTTCAAAGACTGGTTAAGTGTAGTATCATGAGTCAGGTGTAGGTGGAGCAGCAGCCCCCATATTCTCAGGCCAGCTTATCTTATCACTATGAAGGAGAGGTGGTGGTGGCAGCAGTGGGGTTGGGATGCACATAATGATGGGATATAAGATAAGGACAGTCATTTAGAAGAGTAAGAAATGAGTCAGGTGCGGTGGCTCACACCTGTAATCCCAGCACTTTGGGCGGCCGAGGCAGGCGAGGAGGTCAGGAGATCAAGCACATCCTGGCTAACACGGTGAAACCCCATCTCTACTAAAAATACAAAAAATTAGCTGGGCGTGGTGGCGGGCACCTGTAGTCCCAGCTACTCAGGAGGCTGAGGCAGGAATATCGCGTGAACCCGGGAGGCGGAGGTTGCAGTGAGCTGAGATAGCGCCACTGCACTCCCTCCAGCCTAGACAACAGAGCGAGACTCCATCTCAAAAAAAGAAGAAAAAAAAAAAAGAAGAGTATGAAATGATGATTAGGGGCCAAGTGAAATCAAGTCGGGGTTACTTTCTTAAAATAGCCTTGTCTCTTTTTTTATTTGAGACAGGGTCTCACTCTGTTGCCCAGCCTGGAGTACAGTGGCATGATCTCGGCTCACTGTAACCTCTGCGTTCTAGGCTCAAGCCACCTTCTGACCTCAGCCTCCTAAGTAGCTGGGACTACAGGCGCATGCCACCACGCCTAGCTAATTTTTGTACTTTTTTGTAGAGACGGGGTTTTGCTACATTGCCCAGTCTGGTGTTGAACTCCTGGGCTCAAGCAATCTGCCCACCTCAGCCTTCTAAAGTGCTGGGATTACAGGCATGAGCCACTGCACCCAGCTTGGTTTTTTGTTTTTTATTTTTTCTTATCCCCACTGTCCCTACACAAAGTAGATCTGTTGGTGAGAAGATGGCTGAGACATGTACAACAGAAGGCGAGTCGGTAAGTTTAATGTAGAAAACGGGGAAAACCCACTTACTTTGGATTAATTCTGTAAGTCATGTGCTTGTTAGGCACAGTAGGGAACACAAAGAAGTACATGACATAGTCCTTGCCCTCAAAACAGCTCAATCTTGTAGGGAACAATAATATATGTGAAAAAAAAAAAATTGCAAGAACAGGAGAATGTCCTAGGCTTAGAATAATAAAGAAAATCTTAAGATGCTGGATGGTGAAATACTTGAAGAGGAAAAATAGCAAACTTCACTATTTAGGCTGGATGACATGAAACTGCCAATATTTGACTCTTCTTTACCTCTAGTCATCTAACATAAGCCCGTATGATAAACTACCATTAGTTTAACCTGATGTTTGATACATCAGGTGTATTAAATGCACTTCTGACTGCCATCTCAGTGGACGGCAGCACTCTCACTGACAGCAGAGTTTAACCTAATGGTAGTTTATTTGAAGGAGGAAGATACATACACTCGAGCTGACAAGGAAGCTTGTTGCAGATCTTATGGGAATGGGCCCTCCCGCCTCCATATTAAGTAGATGGGCACCAAACATGAGAATAACATATACTGCCCAAGGACGCTTATGCATCCTTCTGAAACTGGATCATTAAGTTCTATGTTGTTAAATCGTACGTTTTCATTTACTTACATTTATGACATCAGCGTTAGCCACTGAATCAATCTGCTGAAGGACTGTGGATGGTGGCACGTAAGAACCAGCAACTAGAGCCTGCGACCCGACTTCTTCCAGGAAACGCTCAGAAGACTCCACTGACATTAGGTATCCAGCTTTCAGCTTGTTCCTGTCCAATAAAAGGCAGAAGTCAGTTTTACAGAGCTACAGAGCAAGGCAATTATTTTTTTTTTTCTGGGTGGTGGCGAGGGGCTGTGAACATCAAAGCTTTATTTAATCGATATAGTAATAGCATGTCTCCCTCATCCTGAATTCCCCAAGAACGGCACTCCCTTCTCTGGAACCTGACACTAAAACAGTAAGTCTGGAGGGAATAAGTCTCGTCAGGGTTGCCGAAGTGTCCAATTGAGGGCCCACTTTGGCCTCCATTTGTGGGTTCATATGCTGCTACAGATTTGAGTGAGACAGCTGGAGAGCTCCCTAATGCTTCCCAAGGCCTCTGGATCCGGTTGTGCAATGTGGATCCTCTGCATGTCACTGGCCAGTCGCAGCATGCTCTTTTTCCTGCCCACTGGCACAGTGAGGAAGATGTCTCTGCTGTCAGTGAGAGGGCTGCCATCCACTGAGATGGCAGTCAAAAGTGCATTTAATACACCTAACGTATCGAACATCACAGCTTGGCCCAGCCTACCTCATATGTGCTCAGAACACTTACAATAGCCTGCGGTTGGGCAAAAGTCATCTAACATAAGCCCATTTTATAAGAAAGTATTGATTATCTCATGTACTGCATATCACTAGCCTAGGAAAAGATCAAATTCAAGTATAGTCATAATGACGTTTTTGGTCAATGATGGACCACATATATAATGGGGTCCCATAAGATTATTAGGGAGCTGAAAGATTCCTATTACTTAGTGACAACATAATGCTGTAGTGCAATTAAAAAAAAATAAATTTCATGTAGCCTATGTTTACAGTGTTTAGCGTCTACAGCAGTGCACACTAATGTCCTAGGCCTTCCCATTTACTCACCACTCACTCACTGACTCACTTGAAAGCAGGAGTTTTCGGTCCTGCCAGCTCCATTCATGGTAAATGTCCTATACTGGCACATTTTTTATCTTTTATGCTTAATTTTACTGTACCTTTCCTATGTTTAGATGCACAAATACTTACCATTGTGTTATAACTGCCTACAGTATTCAGTATATAGTGCATGCTGTACAGGTTTGTAGCCTAGGAGCAACAGACTATAACACAGACCTATGTGTGTAGTAGACTATACCATCTACATTTGTGTAAGTACACCATGAGGTTCACACAGTGATGAAACCACCTAACACCACATTTCTCATAACGTATCCCCATCGTTATGTGACCCATGACTGGAAGCTGAAATTGCAATGGTTTTGCTCTGTAGCCAAGTTGAAAAATTGTAAGGTGATCTATGGCAAGTTGGGGACAGTGTGTATTATAAAGCTACCTTCTGGCTGCTAGAGTGTGCAGATCAGGGATCTTGAAGACCCTTCTGTCAAACCGGGGTGTCACCACAGACAACTCCACCTGGCCCACGGCTGGGGTCACAGTGTCATAAAGGTCACAGTCTTGACCTTTTCCTTTTGCCTTTTCCTTGTATGAACTGGGTTCTCTTCTTGGATAGAGGATACCTTTCGAAGCTTACAGTTTGAAGATTCTCATGTTTATTTTCTTCTTATGCTACCATTTCACTTGTATTACCTGTGAGTTTTGGCAGGTTTCGGGGGTGTCTGAAAGAGCTTCTGCTGTTTATTTCTGTGGTATCCACTTCAGCTGTTTATTTCTGTGGTATCCACTTCAGCTGTTGCTGCCTCTTTTAGGGCCTGTTAGTTTCCACCAAGGGTGAAGTAGAGTCAAGCCAGTTCCTCTTATGCAGTGAAACAGGGCAATTTTAAGGTAGCGCCCCAAAACTCTTCAACGTGTTTTTGGTAAACAGGCAAACTAACAACTTACAGTGCTAATGGCCTCCATTCTATTTCTTCAGTTCACCAAGTACTGTACTGTATACATTACTATTTGCAAAGCTGTCAGTACAAAACTATACTGAATAAACTCCAGAGATTGCTTTTTGATTTTGGACTAGAACTTGGATCTAGGTAAAACTATTTTAACATGAGGTTTTGATTAGTGAAGCAACTCCTGCCTCTTGCTGAGATTTGTCTCAGTGAGCACAGGGTATAATTGAAAAGGCAGGTGGGGAAGGGCAGTACAGATCTTGTAAGCAACAGCAGCTTAAATATGGGCACAAAAGCATCCACTTGAAATAAAACGAAATCCAATTCACAATTCTCCCAGAAACTTATTACTTATAGACATGGTGTTTGATAAGACAGTCG